AAATGTTTTTTATGTCCTTTTAAAAAACACATTTCTGTCCATATTTTATAGGAAAGGTTGATTAAAGGCTCAAAAAGTGTAAATTTCCAGTTTTCAAGGACACTGAAGCTTTGGACGCCACCAAACTTTGGAAGCCAATATCTCGCTAATTTAAATTTAACCTCTCACACCAGACCACCTCCACTAGCAAATATCTCGACTTCTATTCCAGATAGATGGGTATATTGTTCCCTCAAAAGCAAACAAAAGAACAAGCTTTAAGATAATATTGATATCTCTGTATGCCAAAAACAATTGACGAGCGCCTGATTCCACCGCTTCGCTACACGTATTTCATTAAAGTTTTTATTTTACTTTTTTTTTATTCGAACAAGCAAAACTCCCCTCTGAACACATGATAATCGGAATGTCCGAAATCCAAAAAGCTGTACGTAAGCAGGGACCCATAGCTGTTAAATACGAAGGAAAGAAAAATCAACTTCTTGAATCTTTTAGATACAAAATTTGACGACACGATACGAGTCACATTGTAAGTGGTCACATTTTTTAAAATCTAATGTGCAGCGAAAATACAGTTTTACTGGTTTCCTGGTGATTAGAGGGATCAAATAAGATCTGACCCCACCCTTACATCCTTCAGTTCCATGATTTAATTATACGTATCAATCGCTTCTCGCCCTTTTGGCTAAGATCAAAGTGTAGTGTTTGTTCCCGCCTTTTCCTCTGGCCTTGTGCCCTCTGGTAAGCGGGACGGACACTGCAGAAGCTGATGAGGCACATAGAAATCCGGGCCTCGATAATATTTAGTGGGTAGATTACCGTCTTCTTTAAAAAATATAATCTTTTTTAAAATAATACGTATCAAAATTACTCATTTAACTTTAGCTCAATATCATTGTAAAATACTGTGGGTATTAGTTACAGGGGTATCATAATACTCCCCACAGCAGTACATGTATATATGCATGTGACGCATATGGACCTTTGATGAATAGAATAAAAAAGGATTAAAGCTTTCGAACTGGAAAAACACTAAGAATATCCAGGAGACTGAAAGTTTAAAAATGAAGACGAATTTTTCAAGAAAAATAGGTATAAAAACACCAACACTCCTAAAGCACATAATGAACATGAAATTGGACTACTTTGACTATATCAAATGGCATGATTTCCTCGAGAAGCACATTACTCTGAAAGCAAAGGTAGAAGGCAAGAGAGGAATGGGGACACCTAGCGTGTCTGTCTCTGATGACAAAGACCTCATCTATGACCTGTTCCACCAGCCCGAAAGTGCAGAACGCCAAAGCTCTCCCCACACACTGGCTCCTCGTCCCTTTCCCTTCGACCAATGGAGTACTCAAGAAATCAGCTCTCTTCCCCCCTTGACCAAGTTCTCAGCATATGGACCTTTGATGAATAGAATAAACTAGCTGGGCACCCTTTCGATGAAAGGAATGATCGGTGCATTAACATCAACTGAATATCATTGGTCTACTATATTTACACTCTACTGGAATAGAGTAATAATTCTTGAGAGAAAAGTGACTCATGTGTTTCCAAGTTGCCAAATATAATAGATGCTTAGATTGATTCCCTATTCCGCTTTCGTGGTTGTACAGAAGCGTGTTAATTGTTCCCAGTAGCAAGACAAAGAATTTGACAAAAAAGTCCAGAAAAAGCGATGATGGGCATCAAACGAAAGGATTACAGTCGAATTTAGCACCAAGTAAAGAAAACATGAGGCTAGATCTATGCGGGTCGCACACTTAATTAAAATAGTGCTCAGTTTTGCGCGACAGTGCGCGACATTATCGAACGGAAGTACGACTTGAAATAAACAAACCTGGCGGATTTCTAAAATTACAGAGGCAGTAGCGTCGGCCTACAAAAGCGATCGGCGAAATAAAGAAATTTAGAACTGTCTCAAAACTGAAAAAAACGAAGGGCGCCATGATCTGGAGAATATTTTAACGAATCTTTTGGCGAAAACTCCATGTCGATCGATGCAGCCATTAAAAAGCCTTTTGAATAGCAAAAATCGGCCACCACAAATAGATAATAGAAAAGGATTAAAGCTGTCGGAATAGAAAAATACTAAGAATATCCAGGAGACTGAAAGTTTAAAAATTAAGGCGTTCTAAAAAAAAAAGGCGGAAATAATGCTTAGTGACCATAGCCACCCACTGACATCGGAATTTCAACTATCGACCCGCAGTAAACGATACATTTCCAAAAAAGCAAGAACAGACAGATATAGAAATTCATTCGTACCAACTGCAGTGAGGTTACTTAACACACAGTGCTACAAATGAAACAGAGAGAGAGAGAGAGAGAGAGAGAGAGAGAGAGAGAGAGAGAGAGAGAGAGAATGAATGTTTTACGGAGCGGGTTGTCCCAGCCCGTGAGACATGTATTTACTTGGCCTAATGTCCTGTCTTGTACTTGTTGTGCGTTTGCGTGAGTGCACCTTTAAGTCTAACTTTAGTAACGTCTACTGCCATTGTTAACGACCAAGACAAATTTCTCCCTGCGAGATGAATAAAGATTGTCATTGTCATTGTCATTGTCATTTTTCAAGAAATAAAGGTACATGTAAAAAAACACCAACACTCCTAAAGCACATAATGAACATGAAAGCGGACTACCAAGGCTATATCAAATGACATGATTTCCTCGAGAAGCATATAATATTATTCTGAAAGCAAAGGTAGACGGCAAGAGAGGAATGGGGAGACCTAAAGTAGATGAGATCAGGACAGAGAAACCTGGCTTGCAACCTTAACAACATGGGCAGGCAGAATAGCAAGGGACAGAGTGTTTTATAGCAAAAATAAGCATCATCCAAATGCTAGAAAAGAGAAGACGATGAAGATGAAGATGGATAAATTCAATCAATTGAATAAATTACGTTGTGGGTGCTCTCGTGGCCTAGAGGTTAAGGTGTTCACCTTTCATTCAATAGGTTCCGGGTTTGAATCCGGATAGCGATGGAAAATTTTCTTCTCTAAAATTTTCTCCTTTTACTTCCTGTCCTATTCTATAACAATGTTCTTTAGTCTGCTTTCGTCTCCACGTTCTGCCCCCACCCCCTCACCTCATTTGCCTCCTCCACTGGGCTCTTGACTCTTTCAGCAGCCTTTCTACTGCTACTCCTTGGCTCTTTCTTACTGCTGTCTTTCTGCCACACCCCGGATCTTCTGGTAGAAAAGGTCTACACCTAGTCTTCTCGAACAAGTGCTAAAACTCTCGGATGTCTCGTGTGCAAGTTGCGCACCTTAAACATCCCTTGGTGGCCCAAAATCGATAAGAATAGGCTTCGGCCGCCACCTGGGCAAAATTCAAAATTTCCTGGAGCTGATTTTTCTTAATGTGTCCCACGTGCTCATCTGACCTTGTGCAGTTGCGAGCGCCGTAAAACACGTTCATCATCATCATCATCATCATCATCATCATCATCATCATCATCATCATCATCATCATGGACGAGTGGAGGTGCCGCTAAGCATGTTGACAATGGAGCCGAAAAAGAGCCTCGCTCTCTCTCGAAGATTTCTTAGCGGAGTCCGCCAGGCCCATTAAGGAAATCATCATCATCATCATCATCATCATCATCATCATCATCATCATCATCATCAT